GGTTTTGTAATGCAAAGCGCCAAAAAAGGGTATTGCAGCATTTTGCACAAAACTCCTTCTTGAGCATCTTCAAACCCCCTCGATTCGTACGAACTCGAAACACTGAGCGGATCCAAAACTTGTATGATCTGTAGAGATCTTCGAAGCTCTAGACTGCACAAAGTCACTGCCTGACTTCCAGAAGCCCGCACACTGCAGTAATCAGGGATCTTTGGCATAGACCCTAATTTTTTTCTAGAGCAATTTGGAGCATCGCGGAATCTTTCGATCAACCTATTAAATAAATAAGAAAAATAACAAAATCATAACCAGTGTTAGCAAATAATTATAAAAACCATTCAGGATCATTAGCGCTGTGGATGCGCAAACTCTTCCCTGATTTGGTTCATGGAGCGGTCGGTTCCTCTGCGCCTCTGGAAGCAAAGCTGGACTTCTACGGTAGGATATGTTTGGAATTCTGATATCATCCTGTAGAACCGCATAAGAACGCTGTGTCACGCACGTGCCACGCACGCCACGCCCCGTGCAAAGCTGCATCGCCGCATCCATCCCTTATTACTTGCTTTCGAACATTAAAATCTCATAATACGAATTTCAGAATACTTACAAGTTGTCGAATCATCAATCCGCAGCTACAGCAACTCATGCGCGGAAGAGATAGCAAAGGTACCGCAAGTGTTCCCACACACTGTGCACAAAAACCTACTGTTAGCAAAGCCTAGGAAATAGCCGATGAAAAGCCTAACCTCTGCATTCAGGGTTTCGAGGATATACATCAGTCCATGCTAACGAGATCAGGACGGCAAAACCTGTCAAATATCTTCAAGTAAGATGTTTCTTAACAATTAATTGCTCATTTTTTGGTGACAAACGACCCTTAGACACGACTTCTTGGAGCCAGTTGGCCCGGAAATGAAACGCTCTCAAGCTCCCCAAGCTGGAGGCCACCGCCTTCATAGGCATGTGGCAGCGCTGTAGAGCGTTAGTCTCATTGTCAGGAGACCATGTAAAGGCGGGATGAATCATTAGCATGGGTTCGAGGAAGTGATAATAACTGATAATAATTGATGAAGGGATTCAACGCGAGTTAAGTTGCTGCAGCACAGCTTTTTTTACAGCAAAACAATGAAAAATACAGGATAGGACTAGTGATGTATCAAGTAAGCAGGTAGAAAAAAAAAAAAAAAAAAAAAAAATATTAAGTGTGCCAAAAAATCGTGACATTATTCTGAATCTCGGGTCACATCTTTTCGCTACTATTTCGAGATCCATACACTGCGAAGCATAATCATAGTTCCACCCATGAATCTCGCAAAATCCCGTCTTACACGACGTTTCAAAAATGCCCCCATACAGAAAATGTGGTAATTACCAATACCAATTCGCATGCCAACACCAAACTCTAGCTTGAAAAACAATTTTTTTTCGTCAATTTTTTTCAAAAATGGACGTTCTGACAGCGAAGCAAAAATATAGTTCCACCCCATATTTTCCGGCTGCATCTCATTTTTGTTCGGTGAAACTTCTCATCATTATGACTTCTTGCCTCTTCTAGGCTATGGCAAGTGGAACTTCATTAATGGACTTCGAAAAAGGACAGATTATGCAGCGAAGAAGATCGAAACAGTCGAAACCGTCGAATTGGCGCTGGACTGCGGGCCGCAACCACTCATGGCTATCAAGATTTTTTTCGCAAGGGACGCCAGAGGATTTGAGCTATATAAGACTGCTGGACAGCGTATAATTTTTTCCTCCCTTGCTGCTCGACGGATAACTGTCAGGCGCCGTCTGCTTGGAAAAACTCCCGAGTTCACCCATAGGAGGAATATGAGTTACGTACTGTTTCTAACGAGAAATCATCGGGAAAACCCAATTGGCTTTGCTCGAAGATGTTGCCGAACTCAATGAAGTGAGGTTGGCTTTTGGCTGCGGTGCCCTGCTGCTTGTCTACGTTGTTTTTTTCAGTTTTTTTTTCTCGCGGTCGTGTTTTCTGATGAGGAAAAGTTCAACTGCGACGGCTCCGACGAGAACCGATTCCGCTGGTACGACCTGAGGGAAGACAAGTTTCATTTTTCCGGGCAGAACTTCAGTGGATGTGGTCTCATGGTCTGGCCTGCCATCGCATCAATAGAACGTCTGAAACTGCGCTCCGTATGAAATAAGAAATGATTTCTTCCGTTACCTAAAAGTCATGCGACGACGTCTCCTTGCTTTCTGTAGATATCAGCAAGAAAGTCCCGTTTTCATGCAGGATAATGCACCAGTTCATGACAGTCGGAGCACTCGAGCGTGGTTCAGTCGTCACCAGACCGCTCTTTTGCGCTAAGCCAGCGAGTAGCCCCGCGATAATAACCAATCGAGGATATGAGGGGCTTCATGGTGCGTATGATCCATGAGAGTAATGCACAATTCCACAAGGTCCGTGAGCTTAGGGAGTTAATCATTGGGGCAGTCGGCCGAAAGCCTATTAAAATCTCTAATCGAACATGGGCAACCGTATTTTCCAACTTAATTGGAGAAATAGAGTTCCAGTAGATTACTGGATCAAAATTTACTCATTTTATTGTGCACTTGTTGTTGGAATATTCGATTTGTTCGGTGGAACTATATTTTTGCTTCGTTGTCAGAACGACCATTTTTGAAAAAATTGACGAAAAAAAATTTTTTTTCAAGCTAGAGTTTGGTGTTGGCATGCGAATTGGTATTGGTAATTACCACATTTTTCTGTATGGGGCATTTGAAAACTTCGTGTAAGAATGATTTTGGTGGAATTCATGGTGGAACTATGATTATGGCTTCCGCAGTGATGTGGTCTATGCGAATTTTGCCAAGGGAGCAACACACAGTTGCTTCACCGTCCCTCGTAGTCACTGTTCTCATATCCAAAAGGATGGATGAAATTTATAATTTCCGTCACACTTCGCTACACGAACTTCGAGCGAGTACAGCGTGGTTGGAGCCACACGCCTGAATTGGTCCTGATGCTACCTTCCATAGTACGGCTCTGAAATGGCCCGAACTCGTCGCTCAAGTGTCTTCTACCTGGGAGACAAACCTGTCCAAAGAGGCCATTTGCCTTGGATTTGGACTCACTGCGTCCCTTGATCAAAACCATGGGTACGAATCAACCCGCTATCTAGTCCTTGCACTTGATGTTCAAAGGCATAAACTACTGGAAGTCCCTCACTCCCTCAAAAAAATTTTTGAAGTTCGGTCAAAAGTTTCTCAGAGTTGAACCGATACTCAAGAGGGAGCGCACGTGGGTACTGCCTACAACTTCTCTCCCGCTCCTGCCCTGGATGGACAACGATGTAACTGAATGAAGGAGGAGGTGTCTCTGAGTGACCCCCCCCCAGAAGCGTCAGTGGCTGGATCCTGCAGAAAGGGCGGAGTCGGTCGTGCAGTCCTATTAAAGCAGAAGGACGGTGATACTGCGTATGTGGTGGGGTTTACCGCAGGGAATTTCTTCCCTTGACGCGTAACCAGCGAGTCCACGCTATGGTAACCAGTGAGTCCTACTGCACTGTATCCAAGTGTAAAGGGACCATGAAAATCGCCATCATTTCCTCCCACACCCAGCAATATTACCTACTCCACTCCAGCTCGGGGTCACACGTTTCGAAAATGACAGTGCTCGAGATCCCGAAGCTTGGTTGGGAGATAGCTAGATAGATAGAGATAGAATCAACAGGTAAGAACCGATAAGAGTCGAGTCGATAGGAGGATAAATAATGGAGCTCAATAATTTCCGGATCAATTAACAGATGGTCTTCAACAAAAATGAGGACTGTTGCAAAAAAAGCAAAGCCTTGAATGTAATCATCCTCCCTTGAAGCGGGGTATAGGTATCAAATAAAGCTCTCTCCAAAGTTCCATTGGGTCCATCAACACATGAATGTAATTTAACCTTAACGTTTACACTGAGTATGATTACAGGCCGGATCCCGCTTGGGATGATGTTGATGATGTGTCTGAATATCTAGACAAGCAGTTCTTCTATATGAACATTCTGGACCAATTCGCAGAAGCAGTCCAGTACAGTGGAGATAATACACCGGTAAGAAACTATGGTCAAGATCGGCCAGGTAGTATGATCTTTACTAATATAAACCAGTACTTCATAACAGAACAGTTCAGTACTTCACCCGTCATTTAGAATAACAACACTATTAAACTCCAAAAACTCAGAAATTTTCCGCTGGAATTGTGTTTATGGAGGTTATTCGGTGCTCTGATCACGAATATACCTTCATCGTTATCGCTGGCGCCATTTGGCGCCCTAAGCGCCACCTTTCTCACCAAAATCGACTAAAACATGCACAATAGAGTTTTGATGTCCTAAACA